CCCCACTGGAGTTTTTTTTTTTCGTAAGATTTACCACACAGCTGGTATTGGTTTACAAAAAATAAATAAAATCTAGTACAGTGAGAATAGCTCAGTAAATTTGCTGACCGGAAGACTTACCTAATCGCTTGTAAGTATCACCGAGTCCCGTTTGCTCAGTAAAAATAAACTTAATAGCGGAGAAACATGGAATTCAGGATATTGCATTGTGCGCGATATTTTAAGTATATATTGCCAATTATACAGCTGGATGGGTGTAGTATAAAGAATATATAAATATCAAATTTGAAAAACTAAATAATTTTATATATCCCATACACAATTATTAGATAAATAGCATGCAAACAAATTCTCTTATTGGATGGCCTCATTTAAATAGGCTAAATGTATAACATTTAGTATTTCTGCTAACTTGTACTAACATTTGTCTCTTTGTATATGTATTATTTCTGATCATGATTAAATGAAAGCGAAACGTAGAATAAAATGGTCAATTTTAGTTCTCTATCTGCAGGTAGTAGGTTAGGTAGTAGGTGAATAGTTTTTCTGTCCCAGTAGTGTAAAATCCGGGCTGGAGTTCATCGAAGAATATACCGACAAGAATTAGGCTTATATACAGGTTAAAATCCACTGCCGCTCATTTTCTTTCATAATGACTTCGCTTTCTGTTTATTTTAAAATAACAGCTCCAGAGAAAAGCAAGCCCTCAGCGAGAACAAATTCAATGGCCTTTTCAGATAACGTAGGAAAAGCCAAAACCAATTAGAAGGAAAAACTGTGGCTTTTCCGCTTGTTAGCGGTGAATATATATTTTTTTTTCAGGAGCATTAAATCCTTCGTGCTGCAGCTTACAAAGCTGGGGTGAAATCGAAGCCATTGAAGCGGAACCCATTGAAAAGTCACTACTTTTGATAGCACTGTACAATAATAGAGCAAAGAAACTGAATTCTTTGCTCTATTGTACAACACACAATAAAAGATAAATCAGTAACTGCTATACTTATTGTGGGGCTGTGGCTAACGTTGAGCCATTTACCTATAAGCAAATTTTAAGTACGGATGGTAGTTTTAGCTTTCTTAAATGTTATACTTTAATGTTTGGTATGTTATTTTATAACTGGAGTCAATTCAAAAGTGTATTAGGTAAGTCATTATTTAATGCTTTACAACATACACCTTTTAGATAATTTTGAGTGAGGCATAGGCCTAATAATTTGAGTACATTGGCTCGGTTCGCTACTGTTTAAAATGCTCTGTCCCAATAAATATGAATTAGGTTGTGGAGTAAGTATGAGTTCTTGCCCGATTAGAGGCTTGTTCAATAGGCCTAATAAATATAACTTTAAACAAAATTATATCTATATATTAAAGGAACTTTACTTTAGATAATAATAGGTTTTATGGTAGATACTACTTGATTATGTTCATTACAATAAGTAAATTTCAATGCACATAAATTGTTCATATTTTTTAATCTTTGTTATTTGAAACACGTATTATGTGTCACTTTTTAAATTAGAATGTTTGAACTAATATATCACATGGGCTCCTCTTAAAATGTGTTTTGAAGTTTCCTAGTTAGAAAAAGGGTATAACAGGACATGAGTATTTTTGGTGTAAATTACACAGGAATACCCCACTAAATCAGAAAGACTTCTAAAGAGTGTACTGCGTTTTTTTTAACGTGCACATGAGCCATATTGGACATGGCACGGGTACCGTGTAGACATAAACTTCTCACCCGGAAGACGTTGCGCAAGACCTTGCGCTATTGTAACTTGTATTACAGCAATTTAATTGAAAATTTAATACAAGTAGAAATTGGATCTAATTAACCAAAGACTTTCTCGGATCACCAGACACGCAGTGCTTCCCCCCTCCCCCCCCCCCATGGCAAAAGGGCATAACTGTCATTTTTGGCGAAAGTGTGTTATATAAAAAGGGCATAACTGTCATTTTTGGCGAAAGTGTGTTATATAGCCTAGTGCGGTCAGTACATCGTGTTACATACTGTATGTTGACACAAAAAAAATTGTAAAAAAGTGTCCCCCGGGGTAGATAGGGGCATTGCAAAAGGGCATAACTACACAATTTTCAGTAAACTCCCAAGGCAAAAGGGCATAACTGCAAAGATAGGCTGTGATACGCTGAAGCGTGACGTTCTTTCAACACCCAACCTATCAGAAGAGAGCCCTGGTAACAATGAAGGCTGTTTGTTAAGTTTTATTATTTGTATTATTCTTACTGTTTGTGTACTCACAGTTTGTAAATAAGAATTGGTTAAATAGTATGCTTCTCGGCAGTAGCATATGTCTAGTTAATGTTAGGCAAACATTATAAGTCTAGTTAATTTATGCTATATAATCTTGCCTTACTTTGAATGGCATACAGTTTAATACTATGGAAATAAATCTATGGGAAAATAATAAATGTTTAATAAAAATAATTAACCATGACAGAATAACAATTCGCATTTTAACTAGAAATAACAGTGGCAGAAAGGGACAACTACAACATTTATTCAGCCAACAATCATGGCATAAAGGTATAACTGCACAGTTTACTCGAATCAATTGTGTTTATTAAAGGCCAACTCAGACAGCGTCGTACGACGCAGCCCGACGCGATTTGTTGTCGCGTCGGTTCTGCGTGAGTTAAACGCAGGCGCGATGGTGTGCGTCGGGGGGGGGGGGTTAAATCGGTTCAGGCTGCGTCGGCCGACGCTGTCTGAGTTGGCCTTAAGCAAACAACAACTTACTTTTTCATCTAAATCTAAAATTATAATACATTTTCTAAATATTTTATTAGACTATTATTATTTTCCTTTTCATTTCTTATGTTTAACTTACCTTTCATTAAAAACAAAACTAAAACAAGAAAGATAAATGAAAATGCAGTGGTTTTACTTTTCTTGATAATAATAATATCATTACTATTTATAATGTTATGTTATAGCAAAGTACACTACTCCTTAGTTCGCTTTACACAAGCTTATTATGCATTATTTCTAATCAATATATTGAAAAAAATAAATTCAAAATTCAAATAATAATTATTTGACAGAATTTTATTATATAATTTTTATGATGTAAGTTAACAACATATATAAATTTGGAATTTTGTTAACTACCGTTAATTTCCAAATAGCACAGAACATAATTCATTTCTCAACGCATTCTAATTTATGTCATCATCATTATTTATATTTTAATTTCAGGTATAAAATAGCAGCATAGATGTTCTTAAAAAAAACTACAGATGGTGAAAATGAGCCAATTTTACAGAACGATGGTAAGAGAGATTTACGGTACCTAGAGACAAACAATTACATTGATAGATTTGAGTTTAAATACTTTTGAAATAGAAATGGAAATCGACCTGTATTAGCACTTTACACAATAAACAAACATCTCAAAGAAAATAATAAGAAAAAAAAGAACTAACTATGAACTATCCTAACACTATCAAGTAACACTACAAGAAGGAACTAGTATCACTGTACCCGTTCTCCTGTAATTTAGGACACGTAGCCAACTGAACTGACAGTACTCACAGGTGCTCTATAGTGTGACACTAGTAACTAATTCAACCTATTCTATAGTAGGAAGATCGAGAAAAAAAGGAATGAATTAGAGAAAGACTGAAGATGTGTTTTTAGTTGTCTTGGAAATAACGGAAGATAGAGCTTCATGGATTAAATATGGTAGATTGTCCAACTGTTTAGGTTCAGCGATTTGGAATGTTGTTACCGTACGTCTTGAAGCGTGATGGAAGGACATCTAAAATAAATGCGTTTGTATTTTAATCATGGTACAAGTTGACGATGTACATTTAAGCAATTCAGTAACTACATTACGTGTAACATTTCTTATAATACTGTTATAATGTGTTTTTTTTTTTAACTTATGCATTAAAAACAGAAAATGGAGGGGCGCCATCAAACGGTGTTAAATGATATAGATACTCGATTATTCTTGTACATTATTGAAGTTCGTATTCGATATTGACGACACTGGTTATTAGAGGAATCGATAAGAGTTAAAACTGGAGACAGTGCAACAATTTTATGGAAACAAACCTTTACCCAAATTGCCGTTCTCTTTCTTGTCCACAGATTCAAAGCCCCTGTTACCGGTTCGGTATATCATTGTATTCTTTTGTTTTATGGCCAACACTTTCAGTTATGGTATGCGCATCAACTGGAGCATTGCCATTCTAGCTATGGTTTCAAAAAAAAAGTTTCACCAATCTAATTCGTCTACAGAAGTGCTTTTAGGAGGTAATGAGGTAAGGAATTTGTTAGTTTTAATTTCATTTTTAGTTTACATCAATATAAAAATGTAACATTTATGATTATGATTTCAACAGATTATTAACGATGTTTCAGATTTTGATTTGTCCTTCTTTATTTGTCTATGTAATTATTAGGCCTAGTCCAAACAACTGTGCTTGAATCATGTTAGCATTGTATTCTTCTGAGTTAGGGCTACTTATTGATGGTGTGAAATAATAGTAATTAAATAATGTGTGTATTAACTATTTTAATTTCAGACTTTAGTATTTGACTGGGACATGAAAACGCAGCAACTAATTTTGGGTTCGTTTTACTACGGATATACCTTAACGCCTTTTCTTGGTGGTTGGTTAGTTGGAAAAGTTGGCAGTTTCCGTGTATTGTTGACAGGCTTGTTGTTATCGTCTCTGATGATGCTATTGACACCAATTTCTGCAAAAATAAGTGTTGTTTTAGTGATACTAACTAGAGTAATTGATGGAATTGGGCAGGTAAATATACATTTTTTTTCTCAATTTATTTTTTGTGCAATCATTTTTTTTTGTAAATATGTTCGATGTTTCTTATTCGTCTTTCTTCTTGTGATTTTATGTTTGATGTTTGTATTCTTGTTTTCAAATATAATTGTCTTGATTTTGAATATGTGAAACTTTTTTTTTGTTTTTTAAGGTTTTTTTTAAATTTTTTTCCCTTTATTGTTTCTTGCCTTATATTTGAGTTGCTAACCCTTTGAATGTTGTCATTTAGTTCTTTTTAATTCTTTGGTGCAATTTTTAGATACTCCTAAGTTTATCTTCATTTATTTAGTCCATTTCAATTTCACAATACTGACATTAAAGTTTATTTGTAATTGTAACATAAAAATCTGTGAATAATCTAACCCATGGGTCCTCTATCTAACATGTTTAAATTTCTTAAATATAATGACATCATCCTACTGAAGTATAACAAGTATATGATCCACTAATTTCTCATAATATTTAATCGAATCTAGTGATTAAAACATTTTCTTTATTGGCTAACTAATAAGTAAGCACTATTTTAACATAATTAAATAACTAACATATATATATATAGTTCTTTAAACATCTGGCATCTGTAATATAGCAGGGGGAACGGGCTGAGTAAACAATCTCCTCCCCGGTTCGCTATTAAAAAAAATCAATACGTGACATAATACCATAGTATGATAATGATCATTCATGTATTTTTTTCCTTAAATTTAAATAGTTGTATGATTATTTTGCAGTTTTACACGATGATATTGTTACCTTTTAATCTAGGGCGTTGTTTTTCCGTCAACATATAGCATCATTTCAAAGTGGTCAAAACTTAACGAACGTAGTACATTTATATCCATATCAACGTCAGGTAAGAAGAATTATGGATAATTATTTTTTGTGACAATATTTAGTAATTTAGCTTTTCAATGCTAGGTCAAGTAAAATGCCCTGTTGAAATGGTAACTGAATTAGTTACCAGAAAAAAAAACAAAAAACAAAAAACAAATTTAAAAAAGGCGTAATGCTGGTGTGAAATAGAGGAAAATGTCGTTCCATTAGAAACTCCCTTGGATATTGTTGCTAAGGATAATCTCAAAACGACACTGTAAACCATTCTACACACGTGCGTTTATTTGCAAAACACTTTCTGATTGTATGAAAAGCACATAATCATGAAAAAACTTTTGGTTGGTCAGTTCTGAAGTTGTGTTGACAATCTTTTGAAAAGTCCGCTGTAATTGAAACTTTGCCATAATCATGTAGAATAATCTGAAACCACCCCCTCTCCCCGGATTAACATAAAGTTAACACCTACATTAGTAAATCCCCAACCATTACTATTACCATTATCCATAATTTAAGTATTATTTGACAAAAAGAAGGAGCATGACTCACAGATGCTCAATGATAAAGGCATCAGACTAACCAATCCTATAAACAAAAGAAACAAAACAAAACGTAAATTAAAAGTTAGAAGAAGTGTCTTAAGTATTTGTTTGAATGTTGAGCGAAAGGGTGACTTTCGAATAACAGCTGGGAGCGCATTCTTAAGAGCTGCAAACTTGAAAGATCTGTCTTCAAATCTTGAACAAAATTCTGGGAAGTTTAAATGACTTGATGTGGAACAAAGACATCAATTGGGAAATCAGTTATTATTGAAAAATAGAACTTTATTTTGATGTTACCTTTGCTCACATTACTTATGCACTCGCTTGTTGAACATCCTACCAGATGCTAAACAAATACAAACGTGATACAGTGTATTGCTCCAATATCATCCGTACTATGGAATAAGTTACAAAAATATGAATTAAAAATATTGTAAAATAAAAATTATATTTAAATGATCAAAGGCATTATTCATTGTTTGTTCTTCTGTTAAGGTTACAATATCGGGTCAATAGTATCAAGTTATGTGTCTGCTTGGCTATGCTCATCGTATTTTTTAGGCGGATGGCCTTCTACATTCTATGGAGCTGGTAAGATTTTTTTTATGTCATTGTGCTAAATAGTTATTATAATTCCACACTGTATAGAATGGTATAACTTCAGTATAGTATGTGTTCCTTGCAGTGGTGGTGTCAGTATTTGCCAGACAGTGGTCCATGTTCCTGAGTGAAAAAGGAATAATATCACCCACTGGAAAGCCGATGGCCCCAACGAGAGTTTAAGTCTGCGTGGTCATGGGTAGATTTTAGAGTCACATATTCTGTAAAATTAGAATTGTTTTCGTTGCCGGTCCAACGAATTGTGTTCCTGAAGTGGGTGAAAGAGATACTTATTCCAAAGCTTCCGTCCTCACCCCCTCCCACTGGAGCCACCACTGCACTACAGTACTATCAGCCAATTGTGCAGGAAAAATAGTTTTAGCCAAACCACAACTTCTGGTAGAAGGAAATATATTTTATGGAACACAAATTTGGAATGTTTTGATTTCTTTAACTGAGTAATGTTTTATATATCATATGGTTTTGTGTGATTGTATATATTTGTATGAAACTTTTGGGGGAAAATTAATATTTTACTGAAGAAGTGTGCGGTGAAAAATATCAACGGCTGATTTAATGAAGATTAATAATAACCTTGACCTGCACAATTGATTTTAATATCATTCATTTCTCTAGGTATATGTGGCATCATTTTGAGTTTTGGGTGGTTCATTATTGGATCGAATGATGCAACCAGCAACCGATGGATATCAAATTATGAACGAAAATTGATATTATCATATGGAATTGAAGATACGCAAAGTGAAAATGTAAGTTTATTACAAATTTTACCTTTTAACATTGTAGGGGCGAACATTATGTTCAATGTCTTGTTAATAAGAAAGGTAGATTATTTAAACAGGCTTTTATCATTGACGACATATGTAATAAGAAAATCTACGACAAAGTATTAGCAATCATGAAAGATAAGAATCATCCACTTGATAGTAATTTTGATTGGCTAAGATCTGGTAGACGTCTTAGAGCAACACGCTGCAAGACAAAACTTTTTTTTTTCAAATTCTTTTGTTTCATTTTCTATTTGATTTTAATGAACCTAGCTACATTTTTTTGCAGTAGATTAAAATGACAGTAAATGATGATGATGATGTGAAAAATGAACTTACCTACTTGTATTTCAAACTGAATTTCTGAAAAGCCAAATAAAAGGAACTATGAACTATAAAAGGAACTATGAACTATAAAAGAAAAATAAAAATACTAAGCTAGCTGGTAACTTTTTGTCTTTTAAAATCAACAGATAGACATATACCAGGTGCCGTGGAAGAGTATTCTCACATCGGCTCCTGTATGGTCGTTATGTGTTTGCAATATTGGTTTTGACTACGGATATTACTTCCTAAGTACAGATGTTCCAATATTCTTCAAAACAATTTTGGGATTTCAAATAAAAACGGTAATTTAGTTGGTATGATTTATGTACATTTGAAAAGTAATAAATTTTAAACAACTGATATGCTTTTGAAGATTGCATTATATAACTAAATTTTATTTAAAAAAAAATATATTTTGAACTAATGTTAACAATACATTTTAAAAGTAATCGAATTCAAAAGAAGAGAGCAACAACGATCGAATGAACTAGGTTTCGCAACGCCGCTGGTTTCAAAACAATAGATGCATAAAATCATCCATAACTGGTCGGTCAAATTGAGGTGCCTTCAATTGCGTCAGGCACAGCTACGCAGAGCAAATATTGCATGTGAACTGCTGCTGTATTAACAGTGTAGCGATTTCATGCAAACCTTTATTTAATTTATGCTTACTAGATTAATATTGGAAAGCTCACAAAATGAACATCTTTTCTGAAATTTACAGACTGGACTACTATCTGTGCTACCCCAAAGTGCTATGTTTATAACAATGATTTTTGGAGGCGTCCTTGCAGACAACCTGATACTTAGTGGAACATTGAGGATAATAACCATACGGAAACTATTTGGTTTTCTTGGTAAGAACATTTATAAGCAAGTTCAACAGTAATTGTATTATGGCTTACTCTGCAGAACAAATAATATTTTAAAGAAACTATATCTTATGGAAAATTTAACTACTTTATCTTTTCAGGACTTGGATTCTCATCAATAATACTCGTCTCTCTTGGTTATTTTATTAACGATGTAACACTTGTTGTTACTATGATGGTCGGTGTGTTCGCGATGTATGGATTTTTTATTCCTGGAATTGATGCTAATACAATGGATATTGCACCAAATCATTCAGCATTGCTAATAGGAATTATGTTTTCGATATCTAGTCTTACTGGTTTCATAGCTCCAGCCGTATTAGGAGCATTGACAAACAGAACGGTAAGCATGAAGATGCGCTGCGTCTGTGGCTCGATCAGTAAATAAATAAATAGAATAATGCTATTAAATAATTTTGTAACTTTTTGGTGACGTCATCAATTTTCATATTCCCGACTGATCACTATTATCGATATATTATCGATATAGTGTTGTTTTTTTTTTTTTTGCGTCTCGTGTTCAAAAAGCCAAAAGCTGGGGTGATTGTACTACAGTACGGTATATCGCGATGGAATATTTTTTTTTCCTTTTAAAATCATATAAAATGATATAATAATAAAATATTTAAATTGGCCGTTAACACGGCCTATAGCTGAAACACGTAACCAGAAGGTCTTAGCAATCACTAATTTACGGACTAACACAGTTATAATATTCTCAAAGCTGTATAAATGATATTTTATGAGAACCCATTTATCTTTCAGAATACGATTTTTCAATGGAGGGAGGTGTTTTGGATTGTTGCTGGGATACAACTATTTGGACTGGTAGCTTTTTTAATTTTTGGAAGTGGTGAGGAACAAGATTGGTCAAAAGCTCATAAAAAATCCAATACTGATATCGCCTTGCTTGAAATACCGTCAACAAATTCAAAAGAAGCGAATTAGCCTTCCTAACTTGTCTGAGTTCTGAGGAGACCATTATTTATGTCTCTGCTTTATGTTATCGGCAGTAGTTTTGGTGGTGGTTAGGAGATGGTAGGTAGATGTTTGGAGCAAGCAATCTTAAAGTAAAACATAGAAACTGTCCCAACACCAGGAAAGTTAAATTAAAAAAAAAAGAATAAAAAATAAAGAAAGAAAAAAAAATGATCGCCCAAAACACCTCAGAGGTTATTTTTGGGGGTCTAAAAAAAAAAAAAAAAAAAACAACTCCGACCGAAAAAAAAAAAACCAACTCCGACCGAAACAAACTCGGCCCAGACGATAACTCCGACCAAAAACAACTCGGCCCACAAGACATTCTGATATATTTGATATTTTTTATATTAATCTTATCTTATATTGAGTTTTTAATGCATTGTTTCTTTGTACATAAATTGATTGATAATTCATATATATTTAATTGTATATTACTCTCTTTTTTATTTTCTGTATAGCTTTTGTGATTGCTGTATGTTTTACGGTGATTGCTCAGTTTTTGGTCACCTTCAGTAGATAAAGTTAAATAAAAAAAATACAATAAAATACGACAATTCATTACTGACTTATGTAGGCCCATATATTACTTGTCCAAATCATTCGTTTTAGTATTACTAACGTGTATTATTTAATATTATCGTTGAAACCTTCGTATTTTAAGCATATATTTATATGTTAAAATTATTCGTATTTGCATTTATGACGTGTTTAATTATTTGATAATAATATTAAGAATATTTTTTTTAATCTAACACTATAATTTATTCTGTTAAGGATTTCTAATAAAGTTCGTTTAATGTACCCGTACTATTATTTTATCTAAATTATTTATTCGTTTTATCTGATTTTAAAGTTATATGCGAATTCGGCCATAAAATATTTTTTTAATCATATAGGCGTACTTTTGTTATATGTGTAATAATTTCTAAAGTAGGATAATGAAAAACGTACACAGTTGTATTCAAAAAATGACGAACATTATTATAAATGTGTTGAATCCATCATATCATATTCCTTTTCTGTCATATTTCATCAAATAAATATTTAACCATGCATACAAGATTTAATAGTGTTATAATTCATCTCAGACGTCTTTAGTATTACTGTTCAGCGCATTGCTACAATGCACCTATAGGTCTATACGATATTCAAGACGCTATGTTGAAAATAGTTGGTTGTTCCCTGTTTGTGAAATTAATACAATAGTTAATTTTTATAGTCAGTTTTTGGAAGGCGCTACCTTCATAGAAAATCTATTTCGTTGTATTAAAATCAGATTTGTTTATGGCTTAAATATATAAGGGCCAAATTATATATAATATTACTAATTCATTTATTATTTTGTGTAAGTTCTGTCTCATTATCATTGTATTTACACAGGCTGGTTTATGCCTGCTTTTATTTTCATATATTTGGCATAGGCAATGTAGGCATAATCGTTCTAGAACTCGAAAGTTCGAATACCCAAAGTCGCATTACTGTAGACCTACACTAAATCACCTACATAATGATTCTATAGCACCACAAATCATTTAAACATGTTTTCTTCCTGTAATATTTTGTGACAACCTGGTCTTCAGAAAAGAACAGTCTCATTGTGGTAGGACATATAGGTTTGCCAACACCCAGTGCTGTATCCAGGATATGAAGCAGGGGCATCTAAATTTGTAAGAAAAAAACTAAGGGGTCCATGACGCTCTCCCTGCGAAATTTGTATTCATAAATATACCCGTAAATGAGCTTTCACAACTTCTGAGGGATTTGTTTTGTCTGAGGTTGTTCCCCTTTTGAACGGTGATTTAACACCAAATATTAATAATAATAATAATAATAATAATAATATTAATAATAATAATAATAATAATAATAATAATAATAATAATAATAATAATAATAATAATAATAATAATAATAATAATAATAATAATAATAATAATAATAAGACGCAATACTCTTCGGGGTCACCATCCATCACCAACCTGGGCAATTTCGGACCTCTGCCTGGACTCGAACATAGGAACCGGAAACAAATTTTTCCTGCAACGGACGACCGGAGGCTCAGTAATTGTAATCGAGATAATGGCCCCAAAATAAATGCCGGCCTGTAAAAAATGGGAGAAAAAAGCAATTGTATTTAGTCAAAATGAGATATAAAAAAGAAATAAATGAAGTTCAGACTCACAAAGTGTTGAAATATTATGTCTTGAGGGAGATGGTTCCAGACTTTTCCAGCAGCATATTTGAAGGCCCTCGATCCCCAGTTGTTAGTTCCGTACTGAGAGAGCAATGTAAGATTAGAGCCGAGCACAGACCTGATCGTAATGGCTTGTAAGAAGTCACAAGCTTGTTGATGATATAAGCCAGTGAAATTTATTTCAGGCAGAGCCTTGAAAACGAGCAACCCTATCTTCTACTTGATACGTTGCTCATGTGGTAGCCAGTTAGTTCCCTTAAGACTGGAGTTATGTGTTCTTGTTTTCTCCTCAGAGTTATGAGTCGAGCACTTTGGCGTTTACTGATGAATGACGTGTTCAGTTTGCACAGAATGGAATTCCAACATTATTATCTGCCTTAAAGTTATGAATGAATGAATGAGCATTTCAGCAATGTGATTATTTTTATTTTTTCTTATGCGACTAATGTTACGAAGAAAAATAGAGCTGATCTACAAACCGCATTAACATGTTGAACCATGGAAAGGTTATTGTCAAAAATAATGCCAAGGTTTCTACAGGTGAGTGATGGTTTGATTAGTATTTCACCAATTTTGATGTGGTGAATTTCTATTTCTGAGACTTATGCCATATCTTGTGCCATCTGAGTGCTATAGCTTACATTACTGGCTATGGTTATTTTGCGACGATTTTACGCAAAATCGAGGTATTTATTTAGTGGAAGGCTTGGTCCTAACTTTAAACTTCAGTCTATATCTTTAGGCACTACAAAACTTCAGCTGTGCAGTTTTTGTAGTGGGAATTCTAAACAATGTCTCCGGAGAAGAGGATAGATAGGCTTATGCCAGATTGAGAAATTAAAAAATCAGCGGTTATGGCGATGTGGAGAAACTTTGTTAGGCCTAGTTGTTATGATTACCTCTTATATGAACTATTAAATTTCAGAGAGCAGTTGGTTGACCCCTGTCGATCAAACGCTACGTGGTGTACTACAATCATTAATTATTAAATGAACTGAATATAAGCATTCTGGTAGACTTTATATGTCGTACTTGGTTGCTTTGTAGGCCTATATTAAGACACTGACTCACAGTGAGTTGACAACACGATGACTTGGTGAATAATTTTGTTTAATAGGCTCATTCCTTCCCTATAGATCAACTCCCGTCCCAGAAGTTATCTTAAAACCCTCTTTTTTATCCTATCATGCAAAAGTACTTCTACGAACTGGAAGGCGTCCTTCAAAAGAACGTAAAAGTCGTTCGTAAATAGGGCTTTTTAAGTAGTAATTCTTAAAAGTATTGCGTGTATGCCAAATTAGAGCAGTCGTACCTTTTGCAATTTCATACTCTATGTTTATGGTAGCAGCTGTTAAATCATAGGAAATACTATTCAAACCAAGCTGCTGCTTATGTATTGTAGAACGTTAGTCAGTAAATCAGATGCGAAATCGAACAATGCGAAACAGGCGAATCATTAAAGCGGAACCATTAAGCATTTTGATACCAATGAAAGTTGAGTCTGTAGTCAACTTTAAAGCCATTTTCTAATCAAAAAATCTTGAGTATATTTGGTAGTTTCATCTTTGGTTGAGCTAGTATTAGCTGCATTAGGTAAGTCATATTTGAATGCTCAACAACATAGGCCTACACTTAGATACTTTCGTGTTAAGTTGATTACATTCGACTTGATTGATAATGTGACACAATCAGGTATCATACTTATTCAGTATTGTCTTGTACTGTAATGGTCAACCATCGGGTCACAAATTTTCCAAATTGTGTCTCATTTTGATGACACTTTTCAGAGTTCATAAAATATGAGAAAAACCGATACTGTTGTGATATTTCACTTCAGGAAAAATAACGTTTTGAAGAAATAATGATTATTAGAATAAACGTATTATATAAGAGGTGTTGATGTACTTGTCGGGTCGAGCGTTAGGGTCCTTTACGATTTCGTTTTCTTAGCAACAATATCAACTTTGTGGGGCTTTTTTGAACTTTCAATTACAGGTAATCGGTATTACAGAATTGTCCAGGCAACTCAGTCAATGCAACTCAAATCTGACATACATCAGAGATGAAATGTTTCTAAAGTCCACAATCAACTTCGAAAGACTTACGACTAAAGCTTCAGCAAAAATGTAAAGTGTCGATCAAACGTTACAATTTTTATACTAATGAGAAATACGCTGTCTTTTGCGAAACCTTACCAACAATATCCAATGGGTGAGGGTTATCTAGAATAGCCCATTAAAATCATCACTATAATAAATACATATATAAACATTTTGTTTTTTGTAATATTTATGTTTATAAGATATAGAATGCATTTTATAAGTGTCCACATGTTTGCCATAAGTTCTGTGTTTAATAATGAATGAGAATAATCACATAACAATTGTCAAGCAAGACATATGATTGCGGAGTATAATACATTGGTGCCTAATTATTAAATATGCACACATTTTAATAATAGGCTAAAGAATAATTTACTATATTATAGTGGAACACATTTACTTTTTTTAAATATCCTAAGCAGTTCGTTCTGTTACACTAATAGGTAAAAAGAGTGTGCAAACTTATTTTTTGTTATCATCATTGTCATTCATTTTATTTTAATTTTCAGATTTAAAATAGCAGTTTAAATGGTCTTCAACAAAGCTTCAAATGAGGAAAAAGAGCCACTTTTACAGAATGTTGGTAAGAGATAACTATTTAAAGACGAACCTTTAGATAGAGAGATAGGAGTTTTAAAGGGATAACGTATGTTACATGACTGCAGTAGGGAGATTTCGCAACCTTAGGAAAACAATACGTCATCTTCATTTTCATTCGTTCGTACTTACAGTTTAAAGTTTTCTTAACGAGCAGTATATGATTGTTGATGCATTTAAAAGTCATGGATCGTCTATGTAATGATAGATGCTCTATTGTATTGGATAGATTTACTTACAAAAATGATGGTAACGGTAATGGTTTTATATAGCGCCTTGAAATAATCTACTCACGGTGCTCGAAAAATATATGTGAATAAAGTATGAAAATAAACGAAATAATATTTTTTCATCGTTTTTTAAACCTCCCTAACATCATTAATCACTAAATATTTATTGTATACTTCAGATCCATAACAACTATGTTGTAGCATAGGTTTAAAAGGTTTTGGTAATTATTTTCAAACATTTTTTTTAGCAACAAAAAGAATACCTAACAGATATCCGAACTGTGGTCGCCCTACAGGCGTTCATTCAAAATAACTTCTTAAATTGTTCGCCTCCGTACGATACTTCAAGACAGTCTAGCGTAACATTTCATAAACAAGATCTTTTCGGGTAACCTGTATTGTCGTCAAATGCTTCGAAGAGGGCTTGTGTTTTATCTGTGTACCATGCTTTAAGTACTAGTGCTATCCAACTACGCATGCACATTCGTTTAACGAATTATATGATTTAATTCCCAGCAAAACCTCAATAGCCCAGTATGTTTAAGGTGTCTGCAAATAGGTCCCGTGTTCGAATCCTGGCCCAGACACTTTTTTCACGTTTTCAGATGATTCCTTTATAAATTTTATTTAAATATGTATTCAATTTTTGAAATATAACATAAAAAAAAACAAAATATGAAGGGGAAACACTGGTCAAAGGTTTTTTTCCAGCTGATTGTTTTGTTGTACATTATTGATGTCGCTACACGCTATCGCCGGTAGCTATATACTACACTATTGGACGGTCTAATCGAAGAGCTTCTCAGACTGCATCGAGACAGATAAGTTGTTCAGTGAAAAAAACAGTATTAGTGACATTGCAGCGATTTTATGGAAACCACGTTTGACCTAAACGGCCGTTCTGCTCCTTGTCCACAGATTCACCGCCCCGGTTACCGATTCGGTATATTATTTTATTCTTTTGTTTTATGGCCAACACAATCAACAATGGTATGCGCATCAACTGGAGTATTGCCATTCTAGCTATGGTTTCGAAGAAAAAGCTTGACCAATCGAATTTGTCTGCAGAAGTGCTTCTAGGAGATAATGGGGTAAAGAACTAGTTAGTTTTTACTGATTTCTATATAAAACTGTAACATGGATGATTATAATGGTATTTAACAGATTGTTAGTGGTTATTTTAGGTTTGTATTGGTCCATATTTTATTAGCTATGTAAATAGTAGGTCTTGTTAAAACAATTGTGATTCAATTGTGTTGTGTTGTATTCCTCCTTATTAGGCCTATTTAATATTTGGTGTGTGAAATAATGTTAATTAGTGTTAATATTGTAATTTTAGTGTGTATTACCTATTCTAATTTCAGACTGAATCATATGACTGGGACATGGAAACGCAACAAATCATATTGGGGGCTTTTTACTACGGATATACCTTTACGCCTTTTCTTGGAGGTTGGTTAGTTGGTAAAGTTGGAGGATTTCGTGTATTGTTTACAGGCGTGTTATTATCGTCTGTAATGATGCTATTGACAGCAATATCTGCAAGAATAAGCGTTGCTTTATTGATACTAACCAGAGTAATTGATGGAACTGGACAGGTAAATAAACATCTTTACAATACTTTTTGCATATTGTTCTTTTCGATGTTTGTTCCGTCTCCTATTGTGCTTTTTTATTCTCCTTGTTTTCCAAATGTACAGTAATTATCTTGTATTTGTAATTATGTAAATCCTTTTTGTGCTTTGATTACATTTTTGTATTGATTTCCTTGTCTTGCATTTTATTCTGTTATGCTTTCCTTTCGAATTTTGCCTTATAACTATTTCATCTTAATTCTGTAGTGCACTTTTTTTTTATATAGGCCTAATTTTATCTTCATTAATTCAATCAGTTATGTATGTTCAACTTCAATTTCACAATATTGGAAATTACAATAAAGTTTATTTGTACTTGTAACATTAAATTTAGTAAATAGTCCAAACAGTCTAACATGTTTATGGTTTTTACTGTTTCACTTCTCTATTTTTGGAGGTTTTGTGAATGAATTTGAATAAAATTATAATAATCATGTTACTTCAGTATAACAAGTGTATAGTGGATCCAATAATTTTTTCAATTTAAAATGTATTTGTTTTATTACATTAATAATAATTAATCAGTATTTTAGCATAATTAAGTTAAAATAATTAATTATGATAATTTATATTTAATTAATTAAATAATTAATTAATAATTTAAAATAATTGTGCTTTAAACATAAATAATCCAAAAGAGAACAGTTTGGTTTCTCTCCCCTTCTTATTTAAAGTTCAATACGTGACTTGATATCATCATATAATTATCATTCATTTACTTCTTTTTTTCTAATTGTCCTTAGTTATAAAAAGTATAAATGATCATTTTTTTTCCAGTTTTACAAAACAATATTGCTTACTATTTAATTTAGGGCGTTGTTTATCCGGCAACATATAGTATCATTGCAAAGTGGTCAAAACTTAACGAACGTAGTACTTTTATATCCGTATCATCCTCAGGTAAGAAGAAATTAGATAATTATTTTAGTGACAATATTATCATTATCGTATTAGAAACTTTAAGACTCATATGCTAAGTTACAGTACAGTAAACTTTTCCCATGGAATCGGAGTTAATACAACATACAAGAATAATCAAATAAATCACAACGAGGTGTAAAGCAGAGGAAAAGTTAATTCTATTAAGCCCCACCCTATGATATTGTTACTAAGGTTACCTTTAACACGACAATGTAAACGATGTTAGACAAGTGCATTTGTTTGACAACCCTTTGTATTTGAATGAAAAACCCACAATTCTGACAGTACTCTGGTAGGTCAATTGTGTTTTATTGACGCTCTCTGGATAGGTTCATTGATAATAATACTAATTGAAACTAGGCTAAGTTATGTAGAATAATATCAAACCCCAGGTTTCGCATAAAGTAGACATGGGTATTAGTAAATCTCCAACCATTACAGGATTGGCGCCAGTGGGGTGCGGGTGGAGAGTGTAGAAAAACATAATTTACGTCATGGGAGAAGAAAAAAATATTTATTTTTTACATTAGTACACTCTAAAATCGTTTAAATAAACCTTTGTTATCCCTAAGTTGCCAGTTTCTGGCAACAACTCCCCTGGATCATTTCTGAGACTAGTGCACTCGCGTATTGGTCGGGAAGTCACTCCCACCCCGTCAAACATCGGACCCCCCAAGTCGGGCAAATCCTGGTGCCAACCCTGAACGATTAATATTATCATTATTCATAATTTTGAGTATTTAAAGCAATGGTCTGCAAGATCATGACTCACTCATATAGACTAGCACAGAGGAATATAACTAAATGGAAATTAAAGGGTAATAAAAAGATGGGTCTTAAGTCTTATTATTGTTAAAAGGGAGGTTTTAAGTCTCATTTTTAATGTTAAAAGGGAGGTTGACTCTCGAATTACAACTGGGAGCGCATTCAATAATTTAGGAGCTACAAACTCAAAGTATCTTCCCCCCCCCCCCCCAATCTGGAACGAAATGCTGAGAAGGATAATCGTGACTGACTTGATGTTGAAAGAGAGCTGTTAATTTAAAAAAAATAATTATTTAAACAACATTATGAGGTTAATTCAATCGCATTACTCATGGCACTCGCTTGTTGAGAATATTAACATCATAGGTACTAAATAAACAATCTCATACGCGAAACAGTGCGTTTCTGTTTTTATAATTGTGTACAATGGAGAAATGGAAGAAAAATATAAATTAAACATATTGTATAATACAAATAATACTAATTAAATGATCGAAAGCATTATTCATTTGTTCTTCTTTTAAGGTTACAGTATCGGGGCAATAGTATCAAGTTATGTGTCTGCTTGGCTATGCTCATCATGTTTTTTAGGCGGATGGCCATCTACATTCTATGGAGTTGGTAAGATTGCGTTTCATTTTGTTTATTGGCTAATTATAATAATTCCGTACACTCCAAAAATAATTTCACTTTAGTTTATAATATTAACAATAGCGGTGGTGACGCAATGATTTGCCCGACTGGGGCTTGGCAGATGGGTCCAAGAGGAAATGTCCACGGAAATGTCTGCAAAAGCGTTTTTAATCGATTTTAGTCTCAGATGCTGTAACAATATAATTGTTTTCCTCCCGACGAATTGTGATTTCTCCCAGACGTGTGGTTGCCACCACTTCACAACAGTACTATCATATCCAGTCCTTCATGAAAGTTTATTCACCCAAACTCTCAATCTGGTAGGTGATATATTTTTAATAAAACAAATTTAGAATGTTTTATTATTTTTTAGCAGCAATGTTTTATATGACATTGTTTTTATTTTATACTTTGTATGAACAGAATACTGTTGGAGAGAACAGTAATATTTTACTGAAGAGGTGTATGGAACTATAGAAGTTTGTATTATACAATTAATTTTAAAATCATTCTTCTTTCTAGGTATAAGTGGAATCATTTTGTGCTTTGGGTGGTTCATTATTGGATCGAATGACGCAGCCAACAACCGATGGATATCAAATTATGAAAAGAAACTGATATTATCATCTCGAACAGAAGATACGCAAAGTGAAAATAATGCAAGTTTATTACAAATAGTAATAGTAATAGTAGGTCCAAGCAAATTGTAATATTAGATGTCGTCACGTAGTATAATTTTTTACTTGTCGGCCACAGGTGAGCCCTAGCATGGATCTTCAATTTATCACATTCCACATACTGTCTGATAGCTCGTTTGTCTCCTTCAGTTCAATGTCGTTTAAGAGTAATTTTTACTGGTTAAGTTAACTCACAAAACAACAACGTAAAAAAGTCATACAGCTTACATTTACGGATTTAAATAGGGATTGCAGTAAGCATGATGACATTTTTGCCCATATTAATACTGTCCTCAAAGACAAGTGTAATATGAACTACTTGCACCTTGTTGCCCGCCTAAGCAATTAAGATCTTCAACTCAGAGTAAACTCAACACTGTCTGTCTCTTATACACATCTAGATGTGTATAAGAGACAGGAAAAATGACAAAGCATTTTTCCACTATTTAGTCATGATTGATTTTTATATTATTATTATTACTATTTTTTAATGAAAACTAAAGTTTTGAATAATATTTATCTTATCTTTGTCTCTTATACACATCTAGATGTGTATAAACAGTAAACTTTTTCCCATGGAATCGGAGTTAATACAACATACAAGAATAATCAAATAAATCATAACGAGGTGTAAAGCAGAGGAAAAGTTAATTCTATTAAACCTCATCCTATGATATTGTTACTATGGTTACCTTTAACACGACAATGTAAACGATGTTAGACAAGTGCATTTGTTTGACAACCCTTTGTATTTGAATGAAAAGCGCATAATTCTGACCGTACACTGATAGGTCAATTGTGTTTTATTGACGCTCTCTGGATAGGTTCATTGATAATAATACTAATTGAAACTAGGCTAAGTTATGTAGAATAATATCAAACCCCAGGTTTAGCATAAAGTAGACACTGGTATTAGTAAATCTCCAACCATTACAGGGTTGGCGCCAGTGGGGTGCCGGTGGAGGGTGTAGAAAAACATAATTTACGTCATGGGCGAAGAAAAAAATATTTATTTTTTACATTAGTATACTCTAAAATCGTTTAAATAAACCTTTCGATATCCCTAAGTTGCCTGTTTCCGGAAACAACTGGCATGGATCACTTCCGAGTCTAGTCCACTCGCGTATTGGTCGGGGAGTCACTCCCACCCAGTCGAACATCGGACCCCCCTAGTCGGGCAAATCCTGGTGCCAACCATGAACAATTATTATTATCATTATTCATAATTTTGAGTATTAAATAAACATAAAAATAAATGTGGAACGAAATGCTGGGAAGGATAATCGTGACTGACTTGATGTGGAAAGAGAGCAGTTAATATTGAAAAAAAAAAAAAAAAAAACAATATTTAAACATCATAGGTACTAAATAAACAACCACATACGCGATACAGTGCTTTGCTGTTTTTATAATTGTGTACGATGGAGAAATGGAAGAGAAATATAAATTAAACATATTATATACCGTAATACAAATAATACTAATTAATTGATCGAAAGCATTATTCATTTGTTCTTCTTTTAAGGTTACAGTATCGGGGCAATAGTATCAAGTTATGTGTCTGCTTGGCTATGCTCATCATGTTTTTTAGGCGGATGGCCATCTACATTCTATGGAGTTGGTAAGATTGCGTTTCATTTTGTTTATTGGCTAATTATAATAATTCCGTACACTCCAAAAATAATTTCACTTTAGTTTATAATATTAACAATAGCGGTGGTGACGCAATGATTTGCCCGACTGGGGCTTGGCAGATGGGTCCAAGAGGAAATGTCCACGGAAATGTCTGCAAAAGCGTTTTTAATCGATTTTAGTCTCAGATGCTGTAACAATATAATTGTTTTCCTCCCGACGAATTGTGATTTCTCCCAGACGTGTGGTTGCCACCACTTCACAACAGTACTATCATATCCAGTCCTTCATGAAAGTTTATTCACCCAAACTCTCAATCTGGTAGGTGATATATTTTTAATAAAACAAATTTAGAATGTTTTATTATTTTTTAGCAGCAATGTTTTATATGACATTGTTTTTATTTTATACTTTGTATGAACAGAATACTGTTGGAGAGAACAGTAATATTTTACTGAAGAGGTGTATGGAACTATAGAAGTTTGTATTATACAATTAATTTTAAAATCATTCTTCTTTCTAGGTATAAGTGGAATCATTTTGTGCTTTGGGTGGTTCATTATTGGATCGAATGACGCAGCCAACAACCGATGGATATCAAATTATGAAAAGAAACTGATATTATCATCTCGAACAGAAGATACGCAAAGTGAAAATAATGCAAGTTTATTACAAATAGTAATAGTAATAGTAGGTCCAAGCAAATTGTAATATTAGATGTCGTCACGTAGTATAATTTTTTACTTGTCGGCCACAGGTGAGCCCTAGCATGGATCTTCCATTTATCACATTCCACATACTGTCTGATAGCTCGTTTGTCTCCTTCAGTTCAATGTCGTTTAAGAGTAATTTTTACTGGTTAAGTTAACTCACAAAACAACAACGTAAAAAAGTCATTTACACAGCTTACATTTACGGATTTAAATAGGGATTGCAGTAAGCATGATGACATTTTTGCCCATATTAATACTGTCCTCAAAGACAAGTGTAATATGAACTACTTGCACCTTGTTGCCCGCCTAAGCAATTAAGATCTTCAACTACCTCAATATTCCTAAATGTAAAACTTTTAACTATTGCACCGCTCATTCACGTTTCCATCTGTATATTTGTGGAATGACGTTTCGGAGGACTTGAAAATTCACCTTTATTGCAATATTTCAGAAACCCCTTCATATTTGGTTTCCCTCTGGACATTTAATTTCAGTGAAATTTTTAAGAAGCCCCTTAAAAATCACATTTTGGTTTCTTCCTGGACTTTTTGCCCTCCCCCAGACACTTTCGCCCGGGACATTTTGATATTTCTACGACATGTCTTAGGTAATATTGGTTAATTGGTAGTAGTAATAGTTTAATTATAACCATTATTATCACCTAAATGTTTCCAATAGTGCAAAGGCTTAATGTATGTTATTCTTTTTTTCTATTTACGTCTGTGTAGACCTAACTGTTATAATCCATGTCTTCAATAGTGTTATATCATAGTTTAATAATAAAACAAAATAAATAATAAAAATAAAAGTATTTTAGTATCAATAAAATCAATTCAATTCAATTAAAAAAAATAGGCCTATATAAAAATATGTAAGCTTTGTATATTATTTACATGATATGTTGGTTAAATTTATATAAATATTTTCCATGTTATCAGAATTTTTTTATGCTGAATTTTTGTTAACTAGAAAGATTGGGTAAAGTAAGAAAAAATGTAAATCTTTGTTTTATTTAACACATTGGGCAAACATCTGAGGGACAATTTCCTATGGTGACAATGGTCGGGAAAATTTCACAGGAGGAAAATGTCACAGAGGGAAAATGTCCGGCGGAAAATAATGGGTGAAAATGTACTGGGAGAAACCAACCGATATACATATTTTCTAACTTGTCTATCTTACTCTCATTTGATTTATTATTATTATTATTATTATTATTATTATTATTATTATTATTATTATTATTATTATTATTATTATTATTATTATTATTATTATTATTACTACCTTTTTAATTGTTATTATGTAGATGTCATTTTTACTAGAGCCCATGTGAGTACTGTTCTAGCGAGCCTTTAACATTAGGCTTCAAAGTGCAGGAGAACGGAGCAGTAAAAATGATTCTTCTGTTTTTTTTTTCTTGTTTTTTTTTTTTTTGTTTGTTTGTTTTGTTTTTTTGCAGTTGTCTTTGTTAGTTTTCCTTGTATCACTAGGATATTGCATGGTTATTTTTCTGTTTGTTCATGTACAGCGCATAAATGCAACTTTATTGTATTTTGCTTTATATAAGGTTTACATTATTATTATTCAGTGTAATTCTGCATTTTACTTTTTACAAGCATTTTTCCACTATTTAGTCATGATTGATTTTTATATTATTATTATTACTATTTTTTAATGAAAACTAAAGTTTTGAATAATATTTATCTTATCTTATTATTTATTTATTTTTATTATTATGATTATTATTATTATTATTATTACTACCTTTTTAATTGTTATTATGTAGATGTCATTTTTACTAGAGCCCATGTGAGTACTGTTCTAGCGAGCCTTTAACATTAGGCTTCAAAGTGCAGGAGAACGGAGCAGTAAAAATGATTCTTCTGTTTTTTTTTTCTTGTTTTTTTTTTTTTGTTTGTTTGTTTTGTTTTTTTGCAGTTGTCTTTGTTAGTTTTCCTTGTATCACTAGGATATTGCATGGTTATTTTTCTGTTTGTTCATGTACAGCGCATAAATGCAACTTTATTGTATTTTGCTTTATATAAGGTTTACATTATTATTATTCAGTGTAATTCTGCATTTTACATTTTACAAGCATTTTTCCACTATTTAGTCATGATTGATTTTTATATTATTATTATTACTATTTTTTAATGAAAACTAAAGTTTTGAATAATATTTATCTTATCTTATTATTTATTTATTTTATTATAATTAATACTTCACATATTTATAATAATAATGATTTTGTTCATTATTTATTTCTTATTTAATATCTATAATATGTATTATACTTATACTAGTCCAATGAAAACTAAAATACAAACCTAGCCGATAAGACAACATTATGTCTTTTATATCAACAGTTAGACAAGGTACCATGGAAGAGCATTCTTACATCGGCTCCTGTATGGTCGTTATGTGTTTGCAATGTTGGTTTTGATTACGGATATTATTTCCTAAGTGCAGATGTTCCAATTTTCTTTAAAACTATTTTGGGATTTCAAATAAAAACGGTAAGTTTGTCTTTTGTTAATGTGCATTTATTAATTTTTTTATATATATTTAAAAAAAAACAGGTTCAATTCCAAACCAATGCTAAAATACTAAATTTTAAAAGTCATAAAATTAAAAAAAAAATAAATAAAAAAATACTGCATGAGACTGGTTTCTATAAAATCGCTACATGATATATTACCAAAAACTTTCAGACTTTCCGTTTCGACGGGAACAGCTACGCAGTGCAATAAATGAATTTAAAGCTGTATTGACAGTGCACGATTTCATAAAACACTGGTTTCAATTATGCTTATTTGTATAATATTGAAACGCTTACAATGTGTGTCTTTCCTGGATCATACAGACTGGATTACTAACCCTGCTACCTCAAAGTGCTATGTTTATAACAATGATTCTTGGAGGCGTCCTTGCAGACAAATTGATATTTAGTGGAACATTGAGGATAATAACGATGAGGAAAATATTTGGTTTTCTTGGTAAGAACACCATTTTATAAATAAACTAGTTAAACAGGCGTATGCTACGTTAGTCTTTATTATTGTTTACTGTATAAGGACAAATGATATTTTTTTGAGAAACTACTTTATGGATAATTAAATTAATTTATTATTTCAGGCCTTGGAGTTTCATCAGTATTACTCGTCTCTCTTGGTTATTTTAGAAACGATATCACAATTGTTGCTATTTTGATGGTCGGTGTGTTCGCGATGTATGGTTTTTTCATTCCTGGAATTGATGCAAATACAATAGATATTGCTCCAAATCATTCAGCATTGCTAATTGGAATTATGTTTTCGATATCTAGTCTTACTGGCTTCATAGGTCCAGCTGTATTAGGAGCATTGACAAACAGTACGGTAAGCATAAATATGTGCTGTATTTATGATCAGTAAATAAATAAGGTAAAGCTAATAAATCAATATATTATTTAAATTATCATTAAAATATGCCTAATGAATCAATATATCATGACATATCAATTAGTCGAACTTACGTTTGTATCCTGATTGTATACAATTGGAGAATGGCATCTTTGGCCTATCGCTATGAAAGTCCAATAGCGTACTGTTTTTGTCGGGTTTGGTTAAATGAAGAACCGAAGGTAATAGCACCCCTATAAAGTGTATTAAGCGGAAAGTTTTGTGTCCAAACAAATAGTGTCCCTATTACTTTCTCCTTAAGAGGGATATCTTCTTCGGGGTGACCCAAAAGAATGGTTATATTGTGTATATAATACGATTTGTTGTATTTACCAAACAAAAACATGAACCAGCAAACATGAGATCTGAGTTTCTTGGTTTAACATTCAAATAAAATAAGATAACCTTAGATTTTAAATCATTGCCCTGTGTTGCGCCATATCTACGTACTAAAAAAAAATATTGGCCCCCGGTCGATACACTTGAGTAGGCTCTGCCTACCGTTATAGGCCTGGCGTGGAAAGTCCGTTAATCAGGCCAGTTAGAACGCCTGCCGGACCGCTTCCAGTCAGCTGGACAGAATTTGACACTCTCTTACTCGCTCGAGTCGGCTCGGCATAGTTAAACAAGTCCGAACGATCCGCTTGAGTTGGCTCTCTCCGTTGCAGCCGGAATATATATATATAAACAGTATTCTAAAATCTGCATCTTACTTTTGATTAGCACTAAATTTGTGGAGAACCGAGATACATGTAAAAATAGTAAAGTAAATTGGTCTAGTAATTTTTGAGTTATGCGCCCTAAAGGACGCACTCCTTCTGCATACATACAGACACGCTCTATTGCAGTGGCAATACAACAACAATTAAATATTTAAAAGTTAAATTGACCATTAATAGCAAATTTGCGTACATCTGAAACACCTAAACTGCAGGTTTCTCCAACCATTAAGACTGAATAATACATTTATGGCATTCTCAAATGTGTGTACATATTATAGTATTTGATACGTTGGTTTGTCTTGCATTTTAAGAGACTTAATCTACTGTCATTTATCTTTTAGAATACGATAATCCAATGGAGAGAGGTATTTTGGATTGTAGCTGGAGTACAAGCATTTGGACTGGTAGCTTTTTTAATATTTGGAAGTGGTAATGAACAAGATTGGAATTGAATACCGATATTACCTTGATTGATGCACCCTCAGAAAATACAAAAAAGAAACAAATTAGTCTAGTTTTGAGGAGTGTTTTTTTTTCTATTGTTAGCAGTAGTATTTTATTCACAGACTTATGATTTAGATAATTCTGACCAACCTACCAATGAAGAATTGGATCCTATTCCTCTTGATCATCATGGTAAAGATGTTACAGTTGATGATGCTTATCTCAAAATAACAGTGCAACAACCAAGGCAGGAGAGTGTTCCTATTCGACTTTTATTGTTCATCCAGAATGAGAGCCAGAGAGGCCGGACGAACTAACTACCGAGGCAACCGTAATGGATTTGATAATTATATTTTAGCCGAATTTGAAACTTTAACAGCCAGAAAAAAATCATTCAATAATACAGCACATGAAAAAGAATCTGAGTTGTCTAAATATGCGTAAAAACTAAATGAGAAATTTAAGTTCAATGGAATTTAGTAATGGTTAATGGGTTTAGATTGTTATACTGTAAAATACAAAACGTCTCTCTGCGATGAAAACGGTTAAAACGCTCATCCGTCGAAAGGACAGCATTTTGCAATTGGATGAGATATTAGCAATCCTCAATGCTAATAAGAGCCGGCATCAAAATGTAGGCATTGGAAATTTACACCTGAAATACAAATACCTCTCTATAAATTAGAGGGCAGTTTGTACCAAAGTTTAGTCTATCTACATAAGATCGTGATAACGTAAAACGTGCGTCATAGACTCTCGTCTGTCAATGCATTAATACATAGACTCTCGTCTGTCTATGCATTAATATATATATATATATATATATATATAAAATATATATACATAATATCTATAGTCCTATATGTATATGAAATTAAAATAGAATGTAAAAAACGATGTACAATTATTGAAGGTTGACTTGTTTCTTATCTGCGCCTTCTGGGTCATTATCTTTCGTGTAATTTGCATATGCAATGTAAGCATAGGTAATAGGTAAGCTTACTATAACTTAATGGCGCCAAGAAGTCGAAAGCTGAAAGTTGCATTACTGTACAAATAAATCACATACAGTTATTAGGTAATAAACCTTAAACTATTAAAACGCACCTAAATAATATGGATTGATTTTAATTTTTTACTTTGTATATTTTTTTGTGATAACCTAGTCTTCAGAGAGGAACAGCTCCATTACTTTAGGGCGTAATGGGTAAAGCCAATGCCCAGGGTGGACCCATGATTTAAAGCAGGGAGTTGTGAATTTGTAAAAAGAATCCAATAACGAAGAAGTATGAACTTCAATGCAAAATTGAGCTTTCCCTACCTCTGAGTGGTCTGTGAATGACGTAAGTTCTTAAGTATTTAAGGTTTCACCCTGTTAAAATGTGATTTTATCTTATCCTTGTTACAGTAAGCAAACATGTTATTTTTGTTTGTATAGAGACAGAAAACTCAATAAAGTATTCATTTAAAAGAATCCAAGTGAGAGATCTTGCTGACCCCGCCTAGCCTAAATCTGAAAAACGCGCTTTCGAACAACAAAACATGTATTTGACGTCACACCATGGTCAAAATAATGTTTTATAATGCAATATTATTTCAGCACATAAAATGCCTATTTATTAAACAAAAACAGGGCAGCAGACACTTCATGGCAAGAGCAGAGCCTGTGCACACGGGCTTAAACAAAGTCGAATATCAGTAACTTTATTTCACAATACTATTCATTCCAGTAGGCCTACACTTCACAAATAAATATTTACAATTTTGCTTGAACTGGCGCTCACAGACGCAAGGCTTTATACGTAAGGCCCTTACAAAATAGAAATAAAGCTAATAGAAATTCGAAGTGGAAAATAAATAGAAAATAAAATAAAAGGATATCAATAAAATTAAAAACAATGTTTTTAATTTTTTATAGATAAAAATTTATTTTTTATAGATAAATACTGAAAAAAAAATGTATAGGTGATTCCACACTTTCCTACCTCTATAGGTAACTCTTTTTGACCTTGTCTAGTTCTGTTAAGAGCTGTACAAGCATTTTCTTTGGTTATAGAGGAATTAGTGCTAAAGAATGAATCAAACGCCTATTATATCTTCCCATGATTTAATTTGAACATGTCTAATGCAACAAGTTTCTGATATAAAATATTAAATATATATATTAATTATTCGGGTACAGGCAAATAATGGCAAAGAGGGGTTTTAGTAATGTTCTCAACACATTAATTATCGCACAAATTCGAAAGACACTCGTTTTACAATATGATTACATCTAGTATAATAATATGAGGTCAAGAAAAAATAATTATAATATAAGATAAGGCAAGACAATTAAATTCACTCACAACACATTAGATATCTCACAAATTTGAAAGACACTAGTTTTACATGCGTTTAAAGCACATAACATAGGCCTATGCAATACAAATTTTAGAGCAAATAAAACTTTGCTCTATGCGCAAATACTGTAGATTTTCCCCACTGGGCTCCCAAGAGCAATACAATTAGTTTTTTAGGCCTATTGCATGACATATCATCTATGTTGTATGGATGAACACTTCGCCTATCGCAATCAGTTTGCGTCAGTGGACTACTGGTATAGGCATAATCTGTGTGTGTATGACCTATGATCATGACTGTTTCTTGCCCTCTAAATATAAAAATATTGGTTGCTTTAACATTTAAGTTTGCCCCTCTACTTAGTTTATCTAACAGATAGAAGGCCTCTTCCATACTTGGTGCATTCTTAGACATAATATAACTATTTATTGGTTTTTCAAACCAATCTGTATCTTTATTGTGTGATGTTTATACGCGTCCACGAATCTCTAAATTGGGCATACAGCTGTGTCGAACCTGGTCGAACGGTGGACGATGATAAGGTGAAAGAAAATTATATTTTTGGCAAACTGAGCGGATACAATTGATTAAATTACTAAGTTTAGATATTGCAAGATATGTGCAAGATGCACACTTAAAGGCCCTTAAAATTGATCGACAACCAAATACAACTATATAAAAATCTTATCACAACAAAAATTGAAAGGAGAACCAAGCTGATAGAACACCTAATGTTACACATTCAAACTTTGATCAGTTGTCGACCACTCCAAACCAACCACAACACGTTCGGGAGGCTTTAAACTTTATTAATCAATTTGCTTTAATTAAAGTAAATATTCGTGGGATTCGCTCAAATATCGGTGAACTTGCGCATCTTTGCAAGGAAAAAAAACCCCAAAAAACACTATTGTTGTTACAGTTGAAACTTTCCTTGACTCCTCCGTTTCGGACGGAGCTGATTGCATCGTCATTCCTGGTTATTCTCTTTGCTGTCGTAAAGACAGGGATACAACATCGGAGGTGGTGTGGCTGCCTACTGTTTAGATGGAGCTGCTGTTCATCATGATTCCAGGCGTGACCCTAATGTTTTTGAACTTATGTGGTTCTCTGTTATACTTCAATCTCAGAAGCTGCTCATCTGTGCCTTGTATGGAACTCCAAGTTATAATAATGATGTCATCGAATACATCAATAATAATATAATATTCATGATGAATGTACTTGGAGCTCAATCCGTTATGTTAGTAGGGGATCTTAATGTTCATCATCAGGACTGGTTAGGCAGTTGAATCACACTCTGGTTGTCGATGTACTCAACAAATTGCTGCCTGTCATGGAATAAAACAAATTGTAGATGAACCAACAAGAGGTGACCAAATTCTCGACCTTGTTATTACAGATCTTTCTGCTACAGCCACATTACTTTCAAATATTATAACTTCAGATCACATCCCGTATTAGTAACTATTGATATCTCAGTTTTTAGAGACAAGCCATACAAAAGGAATATATGGTGTTATACCAAGCTGATTTTTATGGTATGCGTGATCATTTGCCATCAATAGATTGGCTAAGCGATTACAATGAAGACGATCCAAACATCACATGTGGTAGAGTCACAAACACAACCTTTGAAGATATAGATCAATTTATCCCTAGCAAGACTATCACCAAGAAGAATAGTGACATAGCCTGGTTCGATAGCAATTGCAGAAAAATCGCAAAAAGAAAGCGCCCATTATATCGACAAATGAAGAAAGACAAAACACCTTACAAGAAAGATAAATATGAAAGGGCAAGAAAATGCTACATCCACGCCGAAAAAATGGCAAAAATTAAGTATGCTGCCAATCTTAAAATTGAACTTTCTGATAGAAATTTAAGTAGTAGGAAATGGTGGAGAGTTGTTAACTCGTTGTCTGGTAGATCGGGTCGTGCTGACATTCCTGTCTTTGAACATCGTGGCGTTGTATATACTACATCACATGAAAAGGCAACTCTGTTCTATCGGACTTTTTCTGAGAAATGTACTCTCCTTGACGCAGACGACCCTGCTCCACTCATACATAATCCCAAAACAACATGTACCATTGAGAGCGTCGACTTAACGCCAGCTAACATTATTGAAATATTGGCGTCGAGGCCTCCGGACCTGATAAGGTTCCCAATAGAGTGCTAAAAGTTCTTTGTTCTGAACTTGCTGGTCCTCTTAGCAACTGTTTCAAGATTGGTTTCTCATTCAGTACATTTCCTGACCAATGGAAAACTGCTTCAGTAACACCAATTCACAAACGTGACTCAAAGTCAGACCCATCAAAGTATCGTCCAATATCTCTCCTCTGCACTATGAGTAAAGTAATGGAAGCCGCTGTGCACACTCCGTTTCAAAACTATTTGATTGTCAACAAACTTATATCATGCAGGCAATTCGGATTCAGACCAGGTCATAGCACCTCTGACCTCCTAACCATCTTATCCAAGAAATGGAACACAGCTCTTTTCAGTGGCCATGAAATGTGTGCTATCAAAATAGACATCAAAGGTACCTTTGATAAAGTCTGGCATAATGGACTGTGTGCTAAACTTCAGTCAAAGGGTGTAACTGGTAGGTTACTCACCTGGTTACAGAGCTGTCTAGCGAATCGGTCTATTAATGTTGTGCTTTCAGGACAATCATCCGACTTAATGAATATCAACTCTTCAGTGCCACAAGGCTCACTACTTTGACCGACCTAGTAAATGTCTGCGAAAATGAGATTTACTTATACGCATATGATGCCACACTCTACGCCCCTATTCTGCAGTCAGAAGAGATGTTGTAAATGCAAGCATAAAAAGAGACCGGGCTAGAATGCATTCCTGGGCAAACGAATGAAAGGTGACATTTAAACTATCTAAACTGCTAAATTTACGCCATTCTATGGGACCCTCTCAGACAGAAAAGCGTGAGATTACTGCAATATTGCAGTAAAAAAGGCGCTGTAAGAAATGGTATAGACTGGTTATTAAGCCAGCATGCTTACCGCAATATTGCCGGCCGGAACGTCTACCTGAAATGGGTTTTAATGTACTAAGATATGTTGGAAAATGAAAAACAACTCCATCTACACGGGTAAATTTCGCCAAGTGTGCATAATTCGTACCAGTGGGGGAAATTCTCTGACACTGAAGAATATACCGACAAGGGTAGGGACTCAATTTCTAAGTAAAATGTGCACTTTTTCAGTTGGAATATGAAAAATGAGGCCGGGGGATTTTCAGAATCTACTGATGCTCATTTTGTTTCACAATGGTCTCGCTTATGTTTATTTTTTAAATATTATCTCCACCGTATATCCGTAATTGGGGTCTAAAGCAAACAAAAACCTAAAAAATGTACAGTTTTGGCGCTGTGAAACTTTGTTAAGCTCGGGTTGTTAAAATTTGGCATCTCCTATTAATTACTATTTAGGCCTACTACACGCCTTTACTATTAAATGAACTAAAGTATTCAGGTAGACTTTATGACATACTTGGTTGCTTGTATATTAAGTGGGCGACCTCCTGCCTCTTTTAGACAACCAACACGATGACTGATGAATAGCTTTGTGTTAGTAAAGCTTAAATTGTTCAGTAGGCTTATTTCTTCCTCATGGATCAACTCCCATCCCAGAAGTAGCCTTAAACATCTAGTGTTTTTTATTTTGTTTTGTAT